TAATATCCAACTCTTTGCGACCCTGTGGACTACAGCATGCCAGGCCTCTCTGTCCCTCACCATCTCCCAAAGTTTACTCAAGTTCATGTTCATTGCATCAGAGATGCCACCCAACCATCTCATCCTCTTTCCCAACATCTGGAACTTTTCCAATGAGTCAGCTTCTCACATGAGGTGACCAAAATACTGGAGCTTCAGTTTCAGCACCAACCCTTCCAGTGAGTGTTCAGGGTTTATTACTACATAAAACATGCAAAATATTACTACATAAGACTTTGCATAAGGTCTAATTTATATAATAAATCCCTTGTCCCATAACTCATAAAGGTTCTGCTCCCGTGACTGAACCATAACTGATACATTCCATCCTCCTAGTTCCTAATTCTGACCTCCATGCCCCTCATTTTCTGATAAAGAATAGCACAATTTCCCCTATCTCTCTGAAAGGCTGGAGACCTACTGGAACTACAAGAAGACAATTACCAGAGCAGAAGCCCTGTTTCAAAGGCTCTTCAAGCCAAAAGAATAGTTTCAACATCATTATTATTCAGCATACAAGGTCTTAACACCCTCGATATTAATCTTATTTGCCTAATCCACTGTCTGTCCAGTCAGCCAGCCATTTGTTAATGAGTCAGGCAATGTCTAACACTCAGAGATGTATATAGTAATGTCTAGAACTTAAAGGTAAGTGTAAGTTAGTGGCTTTCCTTTTAAGAGTTCAAATCATATAATCAAGAAATCATAATATAATATGTGCCATATAATTATAGATTGTACCAAGTGCTATATCATTTCCTAAACATAACTCCCTCAAATTTTTTAATACATTTTCTTCAGTCTTGGATGCTCTCTTTTGCATTTTACATCAAACTTATAAGTAGCTAACAAGTATTTTATTAAAAGATCCTCAACATCACAAATAAAAGAATGCAAATTTAAAACAATGAAATGTCATGTTGCCTGCTGAATATAAAAACTATATACCAGCTCATGAATAGGCACTCTTATAACAGGAGAAAAAAAGATATTCTGAAGATAAAAATAAAAACTAACAGAAAAAATATACAAAAAATGACAAAAAACAAAGTCAAGTTCTTTGAAAACCTGTAAGAGACAAAAGGCTGAAGGAGAAATAAGTTACAAATAAACAATACCAGTAGAGAAAAAGGAAACAAAATGACAGATACCATGGAGAATAAACAAATAAGGAATATATTACAAACATTTAGGAGAGTAGATTTGGAGACTTAAATAAACAACTAAAAAATACAAAATATCAAGACTAAATCAAGAGAAAGCTTGAATAATTCAAAAAAACATTAAATAATTTAAATCAGAAGTTAGTCTTTCTATAAAGAAAATGCCAGGTGCTGATGTCTTTACAGGCAAGTTCTACAAAGAAAAAGACAAAGTGATTTTACATAAACTTCTCACATATAGGAGAAATACTGTTTATTCATTACATGAGGCTAGCATAACTTTCATACCAAAACTAAACTATAACAGATTAAGAAATAGTATACTTACAAACTAATAGCACTTGTGACCCTAAATATTACCCATGTGAATCCAGCAATGTTAGAAAAAAAAAAAATCTTACCAACAAAGGTTTGTACCAAAAAGGCAAGTTCGGTTTATTAATCAAAAGCAGAGAATGCTAATCCACCACACTAAGGGATTAAAAGAAAAAAAAAATCATCTGCTATCTCAATAAATGCAGAAAAAGCATTAGATAAAATATAATCTGGCATGCTGCAGTCCATGGGGTTGCAGTCAGACACAACTTAGCAACCAAACAACAGTAATAAAAATATAATACCTTTTCATGATAAAAACTCAAATAGGCTGAAAATCTAAGATCAAGTATATGTAAAAACCATATAACAAACATTTAATATTGAAATTTTGAAAATATTCCCGTTAAGTATAGGACTGCTTGCAATCATCACTTGTATTCAACATATTAGAGATCCTAACTACTGCAGAAAACAGAACAAAATAAAAAGTAAAGGGGCTGAAAAGGAAGACCCAAAACAGTTGTTATACAGGAAACCAAAGGAACCAACACATTATTAGAGAGTTCTAAAAAGTCACAGCCACAAAAAATATATATATAAAATAGTCAATTTTACATCCCTTCTCAAGTACAGTTAGAAAATGTCATTTTACAAATTATACCATTCATAATAGCATAAAAAAACTATGAAGTATCTAGGAAAAAAATTCTAATAAAAGATATATAGGGCTTTCCCAGAGAAAGTATACAATTATATCGAAAGACACTGAAGAAGACTTAAATAAATGAAGAAAATCATGGAAAAGAAGATTCAATTGTTATAAACATGTCTATTCTTCCTAAATTGATCTATAAATTCAATGCAATCCCAAGCAAAATCCCAGAGGAATTTTTCATGAAAATTTAGATCCTAAAATATAAATGGGCTCATTGGTTAAGGATAACATGCCTCACTGTTACTCTGATTGGATACTGACTTTTATGGTATGGTATGTGTTTTATGGTACATGTTCTATACCGTAACACAATATGGTACTGGTATAGAAAAAAAGAAATAGATCAGAAAAGATCAGAAAGAGAAAGCTCAGAAACAGACCTACAGACTATATATGAAAATTTAAGACAGACTGGGCTTTAAAGATCAGTGGGTAAAGGACTGATCTTTAAGAAAAGGTGTTGGACCAATCAATTACTCATTGGGAAAAAAATTATATACTTACATCACAACATAAGGAAAGATCATAATAAAAAGAAAGGGACAAAGTGATAAAAATTCATAAAAACAATAGAGAGGAAATGTTTTGATGACTTCAGGATAGGCAAGGACTTATTAAAATACAAATAGTGCTAATCATAAACGAATATATTAATAAATTCAATAATGCAGAAATTAAGAATTCTGTTCAACAAAAGATCCAATATAGAGTTAAAAACAAGCTAAAAATTCTTAGGTGTTTGCAGCACATAAAATGACAAGAGATCAGTACAGGAGATAAGTAAATCCTACAAATTAATTTGAAATCCAATGTACAAGTGGGCAAAGACACAAATAGGCATTTTACCATGAAAAAGTATATGAAAGGATGCTCAAAGCCATTAATAGTGAGAGAAATGCACATTAAGGCCACAGGGAAATATTCAAATTTCCTATATTTGTGAAGCCTAAAACATAACGAGGGAACCAAACAGAAATGGGGATGCAGAAGACTCATTAGGAACATTTATCCACTGCCAGCAGAGATATAAACTGGTATAACCACTTTGAAAACATTTGATATTTCTCCAAAAAAGCTGACTACATGTAACTCCATGATCCAGCAATTCTACCCTTGTGCCAGTACTCTGAAACAATGGTTCTCACATATTGGTATGCATCAGAACTCTTTGAGAACCATTGCTATAAAAGAAAGTCCTGTACTTACTCATCAGGACACATAAAGAATACTAATAATGTACTGCCTTAATAGCAAAAAAAAAAAAAAAAAGAAATCCAATATCCTTTAACAATAGAATGAATACATTGTGGCATAATCAAACAATGAGATATTTATCTGTAAAAACAAGATGAGATCATGAGTGGACATTTCTAATTACTCTTTAAACTGTACATATATATTTTGTATACTCAACTGTACATTTATTTCGTCGTTAAATCTTTTAAGTTCCACTTCTATCACCTACTGGCCATGTTTCTATTGTCTGGCCCAACACAGATATGCCACCTTGTCTCAGAACTTGAATAAAAGGGGCAGTTATTAGATCTCCTCTCTTCCCAGATGGCTCACCAGGTAAAGAATACACCTGCAATGCAGGAGACGTAGGAGACACGGGCTCAATCCTTGGGTCAGGAAGATCCCCTGGAGAAGGAAATGGCAACCCACTCCAGTATTCTTGCCTGGAGCAGAGCAGCTACAGACCATGGGATCACAGAAGAGTCGGACACAACTTAGCAACTAAACAACAATTGGATCTCCTCTACTGACTTAAACATACACATCTTACCACCCTCCTCCTTCCCAATCATACAACAGTTTCTCAAGATATTTTACATTCCCTCAAGTTCCTGATCACTGTTTCAGGACTATACACCTCACAATCAACAATGAGAACTGGATACAAGGCTCCACATGTGGTCTGCCAGACAATGTATTAAAAACACTTTCTGTCTAGCAGAGAAAGTATAGTATATTCTCATTGGTATAGTCTTAAAAAAAAAAAAGTGTTTTGCAACTATATCATACTAGTTACTCCTACTGACTTTATCTTATCTACTAAATTTCTGAGTAATTTTTCATACACGATGTTGAAGATACAACTTAGAAAATTGCCCTTTTTGGACCAAAAGAATGGACTTTAAATTTTTGTTTTAGATTCAGCCCTTACAAGTTCTTAAGACAGACTGACATTTATTCTATCATCCATTCTCTAGGGACTTCTCCATATTTTACATTCTTCATAAACTGAATGAGTCATCAATGATATTCAAGGAGCAAGGACAAAGACCTGAGGCATAGCACTACAAGTCTTCCAAATTAATCTATATCCATTAATGAACTCTCTGGATGTAACCATTCAGCTAGTTAATAATCCTCCCTCATATTTCCCTATTTTCCCACAAGGATATCAAGAAAAACTATTATAAAATATATCACTAGAACCTAAAGGAACTGAACATCTAACTCTCTCGTCTTTCAGCCTAATAACACTGTTAGAACAGTTCTGCTGTCATGTTGGACATGATAAGGACCACTCCTGAGGATGACAGAATAGGGAAATGGAAGAAAGTCGGTTCACAAGGACTTCATGGAACTGCCATTCTTGCCCTGAGCTGCCTATTGCCAGATTTCTTTTAACTGAAAGAAAAATAAACTATCTTGTATAAAGAAAAAAGTGGGGGAGGGTATTGCTCTAATGGATTGAAGTGATCCTAAAACCAAGAATTCAAGCCTGGAGAGAATGAAACAAGCCAAACTACACAGTATTTTTTTTTTCCAAACAAATTTAATTCTGTTCCAGCCCCAAAGAAGGGGAAGGACCTAAATTTTAAAATAAAAATAAAATAAAAATTGCTCAAAAACTAAGTCATTAAAAAAATTAAGCCCCCTCCCTTAACAATAAATACTGAAATGATATATACACATGAGGCTCAGGAAGGAGGCAAGAAGGGGAACCTTGGGGACTCTATCCCATGGCAAGGTCCCAACCCTTCTACTAATTCCACGCTCTTTGCCAAAACATAGAAGAGCAATGAAAGAGGCAGGAGAGATATATCAGGAACATGTGTGGCCCCAGAGAGCTGAAACGTAATAGAAGACACAAGTGTCTTACAGGGCAGAGGAAGGAAAGTTGTCATCTAAAACATCCCCCCAATTCCAGCTGCGTTACTAGAAGTGGCTGACAGAGCCGCTGAGTGCCCTGGAGCTTATCTCCTGGTCTCCACTCTCTTTAGCATGCAATCCCAGGAGGGTCATTCACACTGTGGCCTCGAGGCAACCGTGGCAGCAGCCTGGCTGCTGGAGCCCTGAGGCTTCCCATTCACCACCAGCAGGAGGGGCGTCTCCACACGAACACTGGAAAAGGAATAGTCCTGGAAAAGACAAATGTACAGAGACTAATTACAGATCCTAGGATGGAAGAAACTCCAGCACAGGGATACAGCATCTTGACTTTCTTCCCCTCCTTTCTACCTTCTTCAGTAGATACACCCCTTACCTCCATCTCACATTAAACAAACATGAGCTTACATAGTGTATGCAATTTTCCCAAAGTTTTCAATCCTCAAAAGGAATATCTGGGGCAGGTAGATTGCAGTACTGTCATTACAAGAAGGGGACAAGTGGATATATGTACATATATAACTGATACACTTTGCTGTACACCCAAAACTAACACAGCATTGTAAATCAACTATACTCCAATAAAAATTTTAAAAAAGGGGGGGGTGGACAATTCTCTAATTCAAAAAGGATAGGATCCTGGCAATGCCCAACAAAACGAGTCCCACTGGCTCTACAAAATCTGCCCTTTCCAGAGTGTTTATCAACAATTATAACTAAATACACACAGTGGTCAATCCAGAGCCAATGCAAAGTCCGAGGAACTCTTAATCAAGTGTTTGTTAGGCTATAAATTAATCTGCCAAATATAGATTGACTTCTTTGATATAAGGAGGAATTAACAGAGGTAGGTTTTAAACATTCTCCTAATAACAGAAGATCAGCTCACTTTATCAGTTCAAATGTACTTTAAGTTGTAAAACATGTTGCTAAAAGATCTTTATCCAAAATATACTGTTCTACTTGGAGTGTAAAGGAGGTTTTTTTTAAGTCAAAGTAAAGAGATTCTCATAGAGCAATTTTTTGAAACATCCTAACAGGAACATGAGCAAGAGACCGCCCCCCCCACCAAAAAAAATTTATAAAGGATTATAAATAGTCAGTAAACATATTAATACAATTTTCAACCTCACCAATAATCAAGAAACCAAAGTCAAAGAATACTGATGCTATCCTTTTCATGAAAAATCAGCAAATAGTTTTTCAAAGATTTCTACACATAAGTGCAAAGAAATATAACTACATTCACTGTTGGTATTAACTGGTAGAACCTTCCAAAAACTAGTTTGGCAGTATATATCAAAAGTCATAAACCGCATAAGCTTTGAAACTAAGATTTTACCTTAGAAATTCACTTTATTTCTTTAGTCAATTAATTAAACTTATGTAATAATCATGGATATGAGCAGTAAATAAATAAAAATATTTACTACAGTACTTTTAGAACAAAGAAAAATTGTAAATAATCTAGATCTGGGGTCAGCAAATTTTTTTGTAAAAAGTCAAATAGTAAATATTTTAGGCTTTGTGGGTCATATGGTCTCTGTCCCAAAGCTGTCCAACACTGACACTGTAATGTAAAAGCAGCCACATGCGTGCTCAGTCGTGTCTGACTCTGTGACCCCACGGACTGTAGCCCACCAGGCTCCTCTGTCCATGGGATTTCCCTGGCAAGAATACTGGAGTGGGTTGCCATGCCCTCCTCCAGGGGATCTTCCAAACTCAGGGATCAAACTGAAACTCCTCCATTTCCTACAATGGCAGGCAGATTCTTTAACCACTGAGCCACTTGGGAAATCCCCAAAGTAGCCACAGATAACAGTAAACAAATGAGCATATTTTGTTTCAAAAAAATTTAATTACAAACACTGAAATTTTAATTTCCTGTAATTTTCACATACCATAAATTATTATTCTTTCCATTGTTTTCATGTAAACATATAGAAACCATTTTGGGCTCACAAGTCATACAGAAACAGGCAGTGAGCCAGCTTTGGTCAATCAGCCATAATTTGCTGACCCTAGATCGAAACGGTTTGAAAAAGTGGTTCAACACCTACTCTTGTAGAGATTTATGAGGATTAAATGAGCCAAAGCAGGCAGTAAAACTCTAAACAGAGTGTCTACAGTCAGTTAAGTGTTCAGTAAATTTTTACTATCCTCATCATCATCAGCTCCTCTGTCTTAACTCAAAACAAAGTTGTAGAATATGGAAAGTCAAAGGAAATGTTCACAAACATCTGCATATAATATTCCACTCATAATTTAAAATATTCATACAAATGTGTGTATATTTTTATGAAAAGAAGAGACTACAGGTTTACATACCAAACTGTTAACAGCAATAAAATATGAATGAGAATATTTCAGTCTATTTTTTAAATTTTACTTTTATTGAAACAATTGGCATATAACATTATATAAGTGGAAGGTATACAATGCAATGTGTTAATTTGATATATTTATATAGTGCAATGTGATTACCACCACTGTATTAGCTAACACTTCTATCATGTCACATAATTACGATTTCTTTTTTATGGTGGGAACAATTAAGATCTAATCTCTTGGCAACTTTGAAGTTTATAATGCCATATTGTTGTCTATAATCACTATGCTATGCATTAGGTCTCCAGAACTTATTTATCTACTGGTTGCATGTTTGTATCCTTAAACAAAACCTCCCCAATTCCACCATCTACTGTTTCCACAAGTACAGTTTTTTCAGATTCCACATGTGATATCATAGATAATTTTCTTTCTCTGTTCAGTCCATTTTTAAAATTCTCTTTGTTTACCAGTAGTTTTTTAGTTAAAAAAAAAAAATCTAGCTTTTAGTAAAAAATAATTATATATATGTGTGTAGATACAGGATATCATACCACACATACACACACATATTGCATTACCTTACATATATATTTTTTATAAGAGGTAAACTTAGTCCCACTTTGAGAGCCTATGAGCTGAGAAAGAATCCTAGCCATCACTCACCTTTCCCTTGTGCTGAATTCGGTGAAGACGAAGGTTAGGCTCAGGGATGGCTACAGAGTCCCCAATGAGTACTCCCCAGCTCTGCACCATATTATACACCATAACTGCATAGCAAGGTCCGTCTGAATCTACCAGGCCAAATGTACTGCCAGGTTAAGATGGGTTAAGAGGGAGGGACAGGGTGGGAAAAAAAGGAGTGAGCAGCACAGAAAAGCAGACAGTGATTTTAATAATACCAGCAAAATAAACAAATGCTTTCATAGTTACTTCCTTAGAAATCCTACAGCAGGTACCATCATTCACTATGTACACCTGAGGGCTCATTTGTCTTAGATATATATCTTTAAAAAACATCCATAAGACTCATCAATCTGTCACTTTCCCAAGAACCTGGGAAACAGGCACACTGAAGCCTTCAACGAATATTAATAATGAATGAGCTCAAAATGTTACAGCAGAACAGTATTCCTGCTCTACCAATTTAACTATCACAATATCAAACTCTCTAACCATCACTGTCAATTTACTTAATTCCACAAACTTTCACTGAATACCTATCTGGTGTCAGCCACTGTGCTTAGCAGTGAGACATCAATCCAGCTATAAGTGACTTGATTAGTCTAGTGGATGTCAGGCAATTAAACCATCACTTACAATACAACTGCAAAAGGTTCCAGAATAGCTCTTTTCTTGTGCTGAACTCAGTGAAGCCAAAGGTTGGGCTGTGGGAGCCCAGAGGAGAAATGTCTAAATCAATGGAAAGCCAGGAAGGTTTCCATTTAGACGAGACCCTCAAACTGAATCTTAAGGAATGAAAAACTACCTGGGTTAAAACAGGAAAATTAATCCTCAGTGGAAATAAAAAACCTCTACAGGGAAGGGAATAGGGCTTGACAAGAAAGGAACATGAAGAGAACTTGCTGAGGTGGCGGTATTGTTCTCTATAGGAGTCCGGGTTATATGAGACTATCCATTAGTCAAAACTTAGGAATGAAAAAAAAAAGAAAAAAAAAAAAAAAACTTAGGAATGTACACTAAGATTTTCACATTTCATTGTATGCAAATTCTACATAAAAAGAAGAAAACTATAAACAAATACTGAACTCTAATGATTGCATGCTGAATGCATACTAATGTCTACAATTACTTTGAAATGTACCAAAAATAAGATATCAACAGATGAATAAGGGAATAGACAGATATGTGATAAACTAAGTATAATAAAATATGAATAGTACAATATAAGTACACAAATGTTCACTGTAAAATTCTTTCAATTTTGCTGTGTGTTTGAAAAATTTTATAATAGAATGTTGGGGGGGGAATGTAATCTCCATCAAGAAGCAGCAAAAAGATTATCCAGGTACAATAATTGTGTGTAAAGACACAGAGGCATGAAAATGGCTGTTCTGAAACCTACAAAATAATCCTAAAATTGGAATAAAATGTACAAGAGGAAAAATGACAGAAGACAGTAGACAGGGAAAAAAATCATAAAGGACTCTGTGTGTTAAACTAAGGAGTTAAAACTTTATCCCAAAAGTTACACAATACCAGTAAGAGATTTTAAATAAGAACCAGCAATGGTCAAATCTGTATCTGGGGCATATTTCTCTGCGCTGTGGAACACTGGAGGGAAAACAGGGAATAGGGAGACTTGTCTGGAGAAGTGCTGAGGCTGAATTAAATTAGCAGACACAAAGAAGTAGGGACTAAAATGTATATATCTATTAGTCTTGGCGATTGCCTCAAGGCAAGAGAATGGAGAAGTTTATAACAACTTCCAGAAGTCTTAATTAAGTGACTGACTAGAGGTAATACCATTGATTGACAAAGAATTCAGGGAGGTGAAGCAGATTGACAGAGAAAGATGACATAAGTAATTTTGAACATAATGAGTTAGAGATTTTATCAAAGCCCAGAGGCAGGTAAATACAGGAATCCAAAACTTGGAATTGAGGCTTGGGCTGGAGCTGGACCTGTGAGCATAGAGGAGGCAGCCAAAGCCTTTGGGTTTATATGACATCACCAAATGAGATGACCTATAAAAGAGACGGTGAGGAATCAGTGCTCAAGCTCACTTGGCACTCGAATTCACAGTAAACACTGCAATCAAGCACAGCATCCTCTCCTGGTGAAAAAGCCTCAGAATCCTTCTAAACAGTAAGCCATACAGCCACTGCCAAGTGATCAAAGTTGGCATCTAGTTGCCATCCTGGCAGAGAAAGAGGAAAGAAGAAAAACAGAGCCTACCTCTGTTTTTAGAGGTAGACTTTTAGAAATTAAGTCTACTTAAGAGGTAGACTTAACATTTAGAAATTAGGCAGAAAAGAGAAACCAAAGAGTAGCAAAATATTTGTTCCGGGGTCCCTAAACCTACCTTTGCTTATACTTCTTCCTCATTCCTCTTAACTCTAAGGTCTGCTATAGTAACTAAACATTTCTCAACTATCTTCCTGTTCTTCAATTCTTCAAACATGTACACCACGAAAATGCCAAGGAGGAAAATCAGGCATACAGTGGGAGCTGTATTTTAGTTTGAATGAAGCAGAAGGAATTTGAAAGGCAATAGTGACAGAGAAGTCAGAATGCTGAGGAGCCATGTAATAGAAGCTACTTGATCAAACACCGGTGATCCCAGAAACAAAAGTGTTTCAGCAGAAAACAGAAAAAGGAAACCAGTCAATCAGGGATTGGGAAGTGAGCAAAGGACCAAGGAATGATGGCACTGACTGAACCCTCATTTTTCAAAAGTTAAAATTTTCTAAATGAATATTCTTAACTCATTTCCTCTGCTCAACTATAAGAACCCTTCACTTGGCTGTGTTACATTTTTTTTAACTCCCAACAACACATATAAGCAGATGCTCAATAACAAATGTTGCTTAATATTCAGATGTGGAATAACATCTGAGAGAATCTCTCCAACAGGCCTTAAATTCAAACTCAAAGCTCACCTTCCAGAACCACTTAGGCATACCTAAGCCCAAACAGGATTTAGAATTCTTTCTCCTACTTCTATGATCATGAAAACACAAAGAGGTAGGAGAATTATAAGGTTTCCATCTTATAAAAAGATTTCCTATCTTATAAAAAAACATGTAGCTGTCAAATTTCAGCTTCAGATGGAAGAGTCGACAGAACACCAAACTCAGGGGAAAAATGGGTGGTAACAGATTCTACAGAGAGACTGTCAGACATCACTCAGATAATACAATGTCTCTTGGGACAGTCACAGAAGGTAAAGAGAATTCACTGACCTCTGACCACTAACGATTATCTTCAAGTTTCAGAGAAAGGCCAGGAAATGAGAGCAACTAATTTAAAAGGATAAAAAAGAGAAAAGGCAAGAGGAACTCACAAGGGGACTTTCTCCTCCGTGGTAAGGCTGAACACGACCTTTCCCAGGACCACAGCTCCACTATTTACCCCAGGCCGCAGCGCACTCAGGGGCTTGCGCTCCAGAGTCACCTTCTGCCCCGAGGCTGACTGATAGCGCCCATCACCACAAGGGCCTAGGTGGGCTGGGCGCAAGTTCCCCAGCATGCTCTGTAACTTTTTGGTCTTCACCTTTCCCTGCAGAGGAAAAGGAAACAGGTAAGAAGCTGGAAACGAATCACCCTCCCTGAGAGTCTAGTCCTCCCCACCACCTACCCACCTCTATAGGGTCACTACTACCGAGGCCTACTATTTTATTGACCTATGGCAGAATAAAAAAGTAGGGCTCAATCTTCAGACATCTTTACCTTGCTCTCAAGGAGGCTGGTTAATCTAGTCAGGAAATCCAGGAGCTGTTGCTCTCGTTGCCAGGGCTCTGGCCAGGCAGGGTCCAGTGCTGCAGCCCGAGAGAAGCCCTCCAGGGCCTCACCATAATTCTCCTCATATTTATGTAACTGCACAAAAAGTAACAAAAACCCTCCCAATTATGTTTAACACAAACTATGCAGAAGTGGGCTAGCACAGTGGGCTAGGAATCTAGAGAAATAAACTGTTTTCCTGTTCCCAACTGTTTTCCTACTCTACAAACACTCCCAGTTGTTTTCCTGTTCTACAAATGAACTGCATGAAGAGCTGGTAACACCTTATATCCTTTTTCCTGGCCAAGGTGATCACAACCTCAAAGGTGAAATCATTTCAAAGAAGCCAAACTCTAAAACAGTTAAGCTGCATACACTGGGTGATTCTATTTTTATGTTTATAATGAACATTTCAGGAAAGTCTTGTAAACTGTGCCCCACCATCCTCTATTCACCCTCCCACCAACTCAGCCCCCTATCCTCTCCCCCTGGATACTTTAGTCAAACTAAGCAAGCTTTTCCCAGAAATAATTTGGCTTTCCTCTAGCAGTTAGTACTCAACTTTGTCCCTATGAATACTCAGTTATCCTCACAGGCTAAGACCTAGATAGCTTATGTATTTGACTTTCAGATGACCACTCCCCAATATAAATGATAATTTCTTTTTACCGTTGCCCTGTTCAGATGAAGATCAGGATTGCTGGAAGCTGTCCTGTCAACCTTCTCCTATAGTGGAATAAGAAGACCATCAGTGGCTCCTGTCTCAGTCTTAAGGATGGCCATATACAACATGTCCTAAACCTCTTCTCCTTGGAAAAATGTAAGTTTTTGCTTGTCAAATTGTTTCCTATACCCACACTATTATACAGTAAATGCTTGTGTGGAACATATTACACAGTCCCTGAAACCTCAAGGATGTAAGGGCTTTGTATATGCATGGAACTTCAAAATATGATTATAATTTACCCATGTAATAGTATAAAGACAGAAGCAATCAATATGTGACTAATATCTGATAAAAAATTTTAATTAATGAGATGTTAATATAAATGAAGAAAATCTAGAAAAACAAATGATGCTGATTTAACGCATTTCCTCTGACCATGAGTCCAGCTTCAGACACAAACAGAATCATGTTACTACATCTAAGCCCCCTTAAAACACACAGAGAAAGCCAAATTCTGATTTGCTACTTTAAATAGATGGCCAGAAACCATAAGGCAGTACAGACTGCCATATCTGCAGCTATCTTCGTGGCTTTGATCACTTTATTTTTTTTTTATTCTATTCACTGCCTGGCACACTGCAAAAGCACAAACAACATGAATTAAAATTATTTAAATGACTGGTTCAAATATGTTTTAAAATGTAGGTCTGATGAAGAAATTAAAAGTTAAAAGCAATTATTTAGCAGAAGCCAAATATAAAATTTTAAAGAAGTACATCATATTATACCTTAAAATGTATGCAGTTACCAGATTAAGAAATCAGAGTAAAACAAAATACTTCTGACTAAAAAGTTCCCTGACTGAATAAAAACCAAACCTGCTGACTACACAGGTTGGGTTGAGTTAAATGTCACTGTTAAGACTACAGTGACATGGAAGCAACCTAGATGCCCATCAGCAGACGAATGGATGAGGAAGCTGTGGTACATATTCACAATGGAATATTACTCAGCCATTAAAAAGAATACATCTGAATGAGTTCTAATGAGATGGATGAAACTGCAGTCCATTATACAGAGTGAAGTAAGCCAGAAAGATAAACACCAATACAGTATACTAACGCATATATATGGAATTTAGAAAGATGGTAACGATAACCCTATATGCAAGACAGAAAAAGAGACACAGATGTATAGAACAGATTTTTGGACTCTATGGGAGAAGGCAAGGGTGGGATGATCTGAGAGAACAGCATCGAAACATGTATATTATCAAGTGTGAAACAGATCGCCAGTCCAGGTTGGATGCATGAGACAAGTACTCGGGGCTGGTGCACTGGGATGACCCAGAGGGCTGGGATGAGGAGGGAGGTGGGAGGGGGGTTCAGGATGGGGAACACATGTAAATCCATGGCTGATTCATGTCAGTGTATGGCAAAAACCACTACAATATTGTAATTAGCCTCCAACTAATAAAAATAAAGGGAAAAAAAAAAAGACTACAGTGAGAAGCACAGTGTGTGAGGAAGTCATCTCTGTCATTTTTCAAAAAGCCAACTTATTACTGCATGTTCCTCTGTCATGAGCGTGGTCCTACCAGGTGAGCTGCAGTCATCAGCACAGAGGCGACAGAAAGAGCATGGTGTACACATCTGTCCCCACAGCTTCTGGGTACGGCTGCACCAGAGTACACCAGGGCAAAGCCAAACAAATAGCATGAGAAATGTACTTTTTAAGAAATTAACTTATTTGAGTTGAGATATTTTTGAAATATAAAAATTGGTTGTATATTTTAAAGCTATAATTCTTGGAGACATTCTGTGATTAAAATTTTGACTGTGCTTATTAAAAATGGTTATCTATGTTTCACAATTCAGTCTTCTGAAATATAAACTTTCTGTGGGATGGTAAAAAAGGACAGAAAAAAGAACAGTCTAAACTGCTAACATGAACATACGGTAGCTATATTCCTTAGTCTGCCACTCAGCGCAAAATAAATAACAGTAAGTTAAAAAGCAAGTCTCTATGTCAAGAGAAAACAAAAACGGGTGAATACGGAGTCTAAATAAAAAGTACTCAGGAGGCCAATGCAAACCTTGTTAACCATGAACATTCATGCACTCAAAGCCTGAAGGAAACCCCCCAAGTGGATATTAATATAAACAGCCTGAAAACCTAAGGCAAAGCATAAGCTCCAGTGAATTAATCCCTAGGATATAATGTAGAATGGATTACATGCTATTTTCTATTTTAACCTGTGGGAAATCCAGATTCATACTATTCAATGGTTAACCTGGGTTACTGTTTAATTTATACTTATGTAGAAGAGTTTTAATTTTTTTAAAAAATATGTATATATGTTAATAAACGTTATTTTAACATATACTTTTTTCCCATTCAAAAAGATGAACATATTGGGATGGGCTCTGTGATTTGGTTACACATGCCTATATAAGAAATCTAAAAAAAAAAAAAAAGAAATCTAGACAGCTCAAATAGCTACCTCGCACTGAGGCACACTCTGCAAGCGATTGCTAATACTCAAGTTATAGGAAGAAATACCTCACCTCTGCAGGACTGGCTTCACAAAACCACACTCATCAGATGCCAGCAAACACTCCCCATGCTGCTGGCTAAAATGCCACAAAGAAGACTGAACAACATTTTTGCCTCTGTTGCTGCCTCTACATATCCAGCCTGGGTAACCATAAATACTTACTGCTTGGGCATAAGCACTGAGGGCTTGCTGGGAGATCTTAGGGTTCTGGCCAGTATTGAAGTAAAGAGAAAGGTAGGCATTCCCCAGAATATCTGAAAGAGAAATACAGATTTCTGGTTCTGCGTGTAAGGAGCTTAAAGTCACCACTCTATCCTAACAAGTAAAAAGCTGAACAGACTAAAAAATCCACAACTTCTCTTGGATGCATAATAAAGGGGACATTACAGGCAAACCACTTCTCCAAAATCAGACAGACAGAGGTGAATACAGGGAGTTATTGCTTAGCAGAAACTCAGGAGCTACCACACCAACAGTGCTAGGGCAGGAAAACCTAAACTGAAATTGATGAATTCTGGAGCCTCACTGTGGACAAGCCTGGGAGTTAAAAACTCCAGGGGTACCAGTCATAAGGGACCCCCAACAATATTGTAAGATTTACCTCCAAGAACTCAACCAGATTCCCATAGCAAGTATCAAAGAATACCTTCATACTTCTAGCAGAGGCAGGGGACAAAGAAACTTTTTTGAAATATGCCAGAGCATGCCATTCTTTTTGTTGTTGTTTGCGTGAGTTTTTTTGGCCACACTACGTGGCTTGAGGGATCTCAGTTCCCCAACTAGGGACTGAACCTGGGCCACGCCGTAAAAGCCTGGGATCCTAACCACTAGGCCACCAAGGAACTCCTGAACACTCCATTCCTGACAAGTGCCCTCAGGAGAAACTAGTTAACCAGAGCCTAACCTGCTAAGGTATTATCAGAAGGTAACTGACCTAAGGAAGGGAAATAACCAACTCTGGCTAGCTCCAGCCTTCATGCCAGCAAACACTCCCCATGCTGCTGGCTAAAATGCCACAAAGAAGACTGAACAACATTTTTGCCTCTGTTGCTGCCTCTACATATCCAGCCTGGGTAACCATAAATACTTACTGCTTGGGCATAAGCACTGAGGGCTTGCTGGGAGATCTTAGGGTTCTGGCCAGTATTGAAGTAAAGAGAAAGGTAGGCATTCCCCAGAATATCTGAAAGAGAAATACAGATTTCTGGTTCTGCGTGTAAGGAGCTTAAAGTCACCACTCTATCCTAACAAGTAAAAAGCTGAACAGACTAAAAAATCCACAACTTCTCTTGGATGCATAATAAAGGGGACATACAGGCAAACCACTTCTCCAAAATCAGACAGACAGAGGTGAATACAGGGAGTTATTGCTTAGCAGAAACTCAGGAGCTACCACACCAACAGTGCTAGGGCAGGAAAACCTAAACTGAAATTGATGAATTCTGGAGCCTCACTGTGGACAAGCCTGGGAGTTAAAAACTCCAGGGGTACCAGTCATAAGGGACCCCCAACAATATTGTAAGATTTACCTCCAAGAACTCAACCAGATTCCCATAGCAAATATCAAAGAATACCTTCATACTTCTAGCAGAGGCAGGGGACAAAGAAACTTTTTTGAAATATGCCAGAGCACGCCATTCTTTTTGTTGTTGTTTGCGTGAGTTTTTTTGGCCACACTACGTGGCTTGAGGGATCTCAGTTCCCCAACTAGGGACTGAACCTGGGCCACGCCGTAAAAGCCTGGGATCCTAACCACTAGGCCACCAAGGAACTCCTGAACACTCCATTCCTGACAAGTGCCCTCAGGAGAAACTAGTTAACCAGAGCCTAACCTGCTAAGGTATTATCAGAAGGTAACTGACCTAAGGAAGGGAAATAACCAACTCTGGCTAGCTCCAGCCTTCTACATGGAAGAAGGGAAAAATCCAACTCCAACCAACTCTAGCCATCCTGTGCCTCCTAAGTGGGGGTGGGAGGGCAAAGAAAAAAACTGAGAAACACAGTGATGGATCATCTCAGAACCCAAGTATTAAGGATAACTATTTTGGTCACCCTCCAAAGTCTGTATGAAAGGCCCCACATCTGAAACAAACCAGTGATGACACTATACTCAGGGTATACCCAAAATTCCTCTGGGATAAAGAGGCAAACACAAACCCAAAGGAGAAACAACAGGAAACTGAAAAAAAGCCCTGCTGTGCTTATAGGGAAACATAAGCCTCCTCTCTTCAATGGACAGGTCCAAGAGGTACTAGAATAGTGGTTCATCAAAATACCTTTCGGGCTCCTTCAAAGCAAAGATGCCCTGGCTTCACACTTAAGAGTCAGACTCAACAGATGGGCTCCAGATGACCCTGGTGTGCAGCCACGGTTGAGAACCACTGCTCTAGAAACCTGCTGGAGATCTTTTGAAAGCACTCACACCAGGAGCGGCCATCAAGGATGTCCATCTGCACAGCCAACTTAGCCTGTCGGACACTGTCCATGACGTGGCGAGAATGTTCATCTCCGGAGTCGGTCCGCAGCTGGCGAAGCACCATTGACAGGTTTTGAAGGGAGACTTTGTTCTTGCACTGCAAGTGAAGAAGTCATAGACTTAACTTTCATGGTTCTATTTCTCCTTCCCAGATCTATTTTATTTCAGGATTCTAATTTTTCACCTCAATTCTTACTGCCATCTATATCTAAGACTCCCATCTACAAGGATCAACTCGGTTACTTTTCTTCACTTCTCAACTACCTCTGAACCTGGTCCCATCATCTTCTTCCTCATCCAAGTCTGCTCCCCTATCCTCTCTCCCCTCTTCTGATTCTGTCCTCCTAGTTCCCACGCAGTTCTACTCTGGTATTCGTGGCCTAAGGAAACTCACAAACCAGAGAAATCCCACCCTCCCCATCTGTGTTTTCTGAGGGCAGAGTGGGCAGCTCACATGGGTGAGGGCTCCTGAGAAGCAGGTATGGGCAGCTGCAACATCCCCTTTCTTCCAGTACACCTCACCCAGCTGGTTCCAGGCTTCTACCAGCTTGGGCTCCAGCTTCACAGCCTTTGACAGAAGCTCCTCGGCCTTGGGGCTATAGTCAGGGGTCACATTCAGTGCCTTCCCAGTCAACATCAGAACCTGTGCATTGCCCTGGACTGAACCTAGGAGGAAGGGAAAAGATAAAGGAAACCCAGATAGTTTTACAGGTGAGACCAGGGTACTTTCAAGGAATCCCTATGCCAGTTCTAGCAATCAAATAACTAAGGAAAATCTTCATGAACAAACAATTTATTGAAAACCTACACATGCAGACTATTATGTTAGAAAACAAGGTAACAAAGAAAGCATTACCCCTACCTTTGAGAGGCTTACAATCTAGTGGAGAGGACAATGTCTATCCACGGATAATTAAAACACAATGAAAAAGAGCATACGGCATACACCCAATGAATGGACTTTACAAAGTGAAAAGGAGAAAAGACAAGACACTCCAGGAAGAAAAATGATGTAAACAAAGACAAAGAAGCAGAAAGGAGAAATACATGTGGCATGTTCATAGGAGGATGGATGGTTCAACCTGAATGAAACAAAAAGCTCCTCTGTAAGTAGGTAGTCAGAGAGAAGGGTAGGGGGAAAAAAGTCAGACAATGAAGACTTGAATAACAAAGGACTGGTTTAGACCACAACCAGTCAAGAGTAGGAATCTTTGAAGATGCAGACAAGAGATGAGATTAAATTCATGAAGCAATTATTTAGAAAGATAATGGCCATGGTCATTATTTAAGTAGATTTGGAAGTAAAAGAAATTAAGAGACAGAAAGGTCAGTTAAGAAGATTACTGCAACAGTAACCAAGCAATAAGTATGCTCTTTCATTTCACAGCCTTTGGAAATGGAGTTCAGGGAATGGAAAGGCTGCCATCCTGCACGGGCACCCTGAGAAGAAATATTCTGTTGTACTAACTTGTAGCAGCCACAAACAGGATACCAAAGAGTCTACAGAGAGAGCAAAGCTCCATCTCATTTCAATGAAGAACAGCGGGTTGTGTGTTCTTTTGGGACTCATACCCGCTGCTTCCTCCATCTGCTGCAGGGTCTTCTCCATCTCTTCCCGCACATCTTGTTGCTTCCTCCCTGCATGCTCAACACTATGTGTCTCGAAATAGCACTCTCGAAATGAATACAGCTGGTCCACCAGTTCCTAGGAATATAAGAATGAGACCATTATAAGAATGGGCTCCATTAGTGGAGAGGATACCAGACAAGTAAACTTTGAGACTGGCTAGCCATACCAACTTTTGGCCTAGAAATGCCGATCCTCTACCTCGCCTAGGAATGACACAAGAGGCAGGCTGCAGATAAGGAAGGAAAGTTGTCCAACCCGCTCTCACACTGTCTCAAGTAAATCCGCACCATGATGACAGTCTCTCCTCTTAGACCCAGCAGAGCTTCCAATATGATTAAGCACTTCACATACCTTAGTCAGGAGAGAGGAAATGCTTTGCACCTTGAGATAAAACAAAGTTAATAAGATCATCCTATCTAGTACTGGTCCCTAAAGTATAAAACTTTGAAATTTACCCTTAAAACTGGACTTCCTAACAATAATAATCCCTTACCCCTGATTTTTCCTATGCCGATATCTGAAAATACGTGACATCTGTGAATATGACAAACACGTGAGAGCCATTCTCTACAACAAACAGGCCAATTTGAGCTTGATAAATTTTGTATTTTTGCAGTTTTTTTTCTTTAGATATTTGTATTTTTTGTTTGTTTAGTTTTTGTCAAGTCATCCTTTGGCTCACTTGCATTCTTTCCAAGTAAATGTTCTCCTTCCTCTTTAAATATCTCTGTTTGAGTCTTCCTGGGACATCAATCAAAGCTTTTCCATTATCTATTCTTTCCTAAAACAAAACAGCAGTAGAAAGGTATAATCCAATCCCACCAAGTCTTACCAATTACCTCTGCATCACATCCCAAATCCATCCACCAGTCTCCATATCACTATGAGTATCTTCAACTAAATAAGCATCATTACTTGCCTGAACTATTTCAATAGCTTCTTACCTGGTCGTCCTGCTTCTACTCTTTCCCATTCTCCTCACTACACTGAAGTGGCCTTACAGAAAGGTAAGGTCATGCCACAAACTAGTTTCCCAATGCAGACAGAATAAAATCCAACTCCTTATTATGACCTAGAAGACTGTAAGATCTGACCTCCCACCATTTATCCTGCCACAGACTTCACTTCTTATCACTGTCCTACACTATTCAAGCTAGGTCCTCAAAATCCATTCTCAATCCTGCCTACACACATGCTGTTCCCTCTGCCTGGACATTCTTTCTCCAGACCTTTGCATGGCTCATTCCTCTTCATTATTTAGGTCTCAAACACCAATTTCTCAGACAGGCTTTCCCTGACTACCCAAACTAAAGTAACTCCCTCCTCTACCCCACTGTTAAATCACACTCCTACTTTTCTTCACAGTACTTACTTGGAATTAAAATTCTACCCAAAATGATGAAGTTAGATTATCTCCTTCTGTAACAGTGCTTTTCAAGTTTTATTGTATTATTTCCAGGACCCAGCCTACAGAGATTCTGACTGTTAGTGGTTCTAGCAGAACTCAAAATTCTGCATTTTATCAAGCACCCAGGATGGTAATAAAAATAACCTGTAAAATACACTTTGAGAAAAATCCTTTAATGTATTCCTTCTAACCGAAAATGTCTACAACAATGATATAAAGTTTACCACTATTCCCAAGAATAGCAACACCACCATCCTTTTCCTCTCTCTACTCCATTCTCCCATTCCATCCTTGCAACCTCCCCACCCACCCCCAAGATACCCCAGGTATCCTCTACCTAGACGCTTAGGGCATATACCACAAATAAGATCAGGAAAAGACAGCTCTCAACAAATATTACAACCCATTTCCTTTCATCATGCAGTCAGCATAGCTACATATTAAGAATTATAGAGAAGGTCTTATTGTTTGTTTCTATTTGTAATAGAATAGAAAACATACAAGAAATTGGCTTTGTTGGTTTGTTTTACTACACTTAACATTTTTAATAACTTTTGTCCTGGCAAAAATCAATATATATATTTTGTTAAAATTCCAACAGGTACATGTAAAATATGCAGGGTAATACATTCCTCATGATCATCCCAATAACCTCAGAGATAACCACGGCTTAGTTTACCTTTTCAGGTTTTTTCTATACATATACATACATACATACACAATGTTGTAATACAGTGCTAGACTGAGAATCTCTGATTTCAGACAGTCACACTAGGGAAAAGAATTACACCCAAGTCAACCGGATGTAAGGTAAAGCTCACACTCTAAAAGGTGTTATTAGTCTAATCTACTAAAGAAACAAAGAAATCTCATCAATGTTTAAACTTTTGCTGTAGAAGCCTTTAAGAAAGTTACAAACCTGTCATAAGTCTAATATTTACATTTCAGGCTGCCTTAGAATACCAAAAATTCAGTTTCTGAGTACATTTCAGGCTGCCTTAGAATACAAAAAACTCAGTTTCTGACATTTTAGAAAAATCTTGGGTTATTAAAAGAAAAGAGTCAAGCAATTAGTTAGCTCCTATCTACCAAGTACAAGACTGTCCCAGTTACCACAGTCAACTGTGAGCTGAGTGGAGCCTGGAGCCTTCTGCATTAGACCCCAAACTGAAATTGTGGAGTACACAAAGAAATCAAAACTGTTAAATTCTAAGGAGAGTAACCAGAATGCACGCAGTGCAAGCCATTACTGTGATTGTTGCCAATTTGAAAGCATGAAAATACTGAAGAAATGGTCTTTGGAGGAATCAAAACTACAAGCAATAGGTAATAGCTCCTGCAGATCTGCCAAACACACGTGTTGCCATTTGTTATGGGTGAATGGGGGGAGGGGTGAATACAACCTCCCAACAACATACAGGAATAAAGTTAGGAGCAATAAATCCTCTTCCCTACAGGGCTGAAATTGACTGCAGTCGGGTCAGCACCACGGGATCTCAACAAAAATTGGCTGCGCCTGTCGCTTGGCCGGGGGACTCGTCTAGCCCGTTGCGGCTGCACCTCCGGGAGTTGTTATAGTAACCACGGGGACGCAAGTAGCGTCGGGTATGTGTCAAGAAATTCGCAGGCAGTGCATAAACTGGGCTCTCTACTTCTTCCCAAGTAACAAAAGCAGATATGTGTTTTAATCTATGGCCCCACCTGCAATTTCTGCAAGACCTCCTTGACTTCTTCCTCTTCAACAGCCATCATTTCCCAGCTTCTCCGCCCCCGACTTAAAACCACAGAGACGCACACCCGTCCCCACGATAGAGCCACAGCGACATCTAGAGCTCTGGAGGCTTACGGCGCCTGAGTGAAAGAGCTGGTTTTCAAGAAAGCGCGCCGCTCGGAACGGAACTGGGCTAAGTGGATTTCTCTGGTAGTTCAGTCGGTAAAGAATCCGCCTGTAACGCCCATAGCCCAGAGGAAATGGTCTGCATTCACTTTCAAATTCAAAAATTTGTCTTTTCCAAGTCCTGCAAACAAAATGTTCTCAGATTAAGTACCTGCGTATTATTGTTTCGTATATTCCTATTTGTTTATACCAAGATTATAATACCCCAGGGAAAAAACAGGCTAAGAAAGTGGGTGCCTCTAAGTTTAAAATTTTGAAGGAAATGTAGTACAGTGGTACGGTAACTTGCCTGAATGTTTTCCAAACTTTACAGTGATTTTCTATATAGGAGGAATTTTATAATTTTGAAAACACTATCCTAATAAAGCGACTACATTTGGAATGGTATTAAGAAAGCCATCACTAATACACTAATAGTGTGTGTGTGATATGCACGGGCACGCTGGATCCCTGCGTTGTGAGTGTGTGTGTGTGTGTGTGTGTGTGTGTGTGTGCGCGCGCGTACGTGTATGGGAAGAGGCTGGTAGGCTAGTCCACGGGGTCAAAGAGTTGGACAGGTCACAAAGAGCTGGACACAGCAGTACACACAAGTGTATCAGTACACTAATAGTGTTTATATATTGATAAACTATATCCCAAAGGGTATTTAAGAAACAATTGACTGTGTCTAAAGAGGGAAATAGGGGGACTAAGAGCTGTCTAGGAGAAGAACATTCTTCTCATTGTGTACACTTTTGAATGTTTGTCATGTAAATGTATTACCTAATGAAAAACAAACAAAATTTAAAAAAAAAAAAAAAGGATTTGCTTCCACCTAGACTATCTCTGCCAGCCGGGACTATCAAAATTGCCGGAAGAAATATCAATAACCTCAGATATGCAGATGACACCACCCTTATGGCAGAAAGTGGAGAGGAACTAAAAAGCCTCTTGAAGAGGGCAGGAGAAGGGGACAACAGAGGATGAGATGGCTGGATGGCATCACTGACTCGATGGGCATGAGTCTGAGTAAACTCCGGGAGTTTGTGATGGACAGGGAGGCCTGGCGTGCTGCGATTCAGGGAGTCGCAAAGAGTCGGACACGACTGAGCGACTGAACTGAACTGAGACTATCTCTGCACAAGACACAAGACACTACAAGACTAACTGCTTCCAGAAAGGAAAAGTTCAGGAATAGGAGTGAAAGGCAAGAATTTTCACTCTATAAATTTTTTGTACCTTTGGAATTTGTACCATGTGAATGTATTAAACTCTTACATATTTTTAAAGTAGAATGCAATTTTTTAAAAGTAGCATGTAATAGTCCACCAGAGTTTTTCTTTAGTTTTAATTATAGCTTACTTATACTTCAAATTGATTCTGTGAACCTAACAAAGGAAGCAAAGGTTCAGGACAGAAATCATTAATGTACAAAAATGATTTCTTCAAATCACTTTTCAACAAATTTTAAAACTTCACAAGGAAGAAAAAACTGCAACCTATAAAATCTGTGTAATTAGCAATGAAATAGAAAGGGGTGTTTTTGAGCTTTTAAGTAAAGATTTTTTCATCCTCTTTCTCAGATACCATTTTAACTTTGGGGTACTATAAAAATTATTTTTTAAGAGATTTGATATTCTATACCCTTAAAGAAGAAAATGTTACTTGGTTGCTATTAAATTAGGTAAAGCAAGGGTATTTACTTGCCTTTCTACAATGACTATAAAATACACTCAAATGATTTCCGTATGACTTTTATTACGTAAAAAACAATGGAACCTGGAATTTAGGTAATTCCATGGCAATTCTTCCCAAGCCAGTAACAATAAATCACAAAATCTAAGAGTTAGAAAAGGCTGTAAGGATAATTTAATTCAACACCTTACATCACAGATGTAGAAACAAAGCCCCAGAAAGTTTAAACTTAACAACTAATATATGGGGGGGAAAATAACTAGAACCTTGATGTTCTGGCTCCTCAACCAGTATGATTTCAGGTCTTGCCTCTAATAGGATATAAAGTTACTGAAAGTATCCTTCAAATTTCTTTATTGGTTCTATATTTTACTGTGATAGTAGTCAGAAATGACCACTGTTTAATAAAGAAAAACAAGGAATAAATCGTTAAAAGTATTTTAATTACTATAATCTTGAGATCAACAACATACTGGCAAGTTTCCTCCAGTAGAAGTGCATTCCTAAGTAAGTAGATCCAGGGCAACAGCTAGCAAAAAAATAAAGAAGTAATTTTATCTTAAATGCCAAGAAGTCAACTTTCAACATAACTTTATCAATGTGAATTACTCTTAAATAGAAATAGGAACTAAACATACATGCATCAAATTGTACCTTTCTTCATTCACTGATATGACACCTCCAAACAAGTTCATACATGGGCAAATACATTAAGTATATACAAATAAATGTATGTTTCCAAATAACAAGCTACAGACTCACTCACTAGTTCCTGAAACCAAAATTTTCACATAAACATACTGTCAAATGCAACAACAAAAAGAAATGTAAAGGAACATATACACACCAGAACCCAAACTGACATGTAGACATAAAACAGAGGTGCTTATACAGTATACTTAAACATAGGGCTCAGCCAGAAACAGCTCAAACATAAACAAATGGTGATCTACAAACACCCAAAAATATTGTAAGCTTTTTGCTACCAATGAAAACAATGGAACCTGGAATTTAGGTAATTCCATGGCAATTCTTCCCAAGTCAGTAACAATAAATCACAAAATCTAAGAGTTAGAAAAGGCTGTAAGGATAATTTAATTCAACACCTTACATCACAGATGTAGAAACAAAGCCCCAGAAAGTTTAAACTTAAACTTGTACAACTAATATATGGGGGGAAAAATAACTAGAACCTTGATGTTCTGGCTCCTCAACCAGTATGATTTCATGTCTTGCCTCTAATAGGATATAAAGTTACTGAAAGTATCCTTCAAATTTCTTTATTGGTTCTATATTTTACTGTGATAGTAGTCAGAAATGACCACTATTTAATAAAGAAAAACAAGGAATAAATCGTTAAAAGTATTTTAATTACTATAATCTTGAGATCAACAACATACTGGCAAGTTTCCTGCAGTAGAAGTGCATTCCTAAGTAAGTAGATCCAGGGCAACAGCTAGCAAAAAAATAAAGAAGTAATTTTATCTTAAATGCCAAGAAGTCAACTTTCAACATAACTTTATCAATGTGAATTACTCTTAAATAGAAATAGGAACTAAACATACATGCATCAAATTGTACCTTTCTTCATTCACTGATATGACACCTCCAAACAAGTTCATACATGGGCAAATACATTAAGTATATACAAATAAATGTATGTTTCCAAATAACAAGCTATAGGCTCACTCACTAGTTCCTGAAACCAAAATTTTCACATAAACATACTGTCAAATGCAACAACAAAAAGAAATGTAAAAGAACATATACACACCAGAACCCAAACTGACATGTAGACATAAAACAGAGGTGCTTATACAGTATACTTAAACATAGGGCTCAGCCAGAAACAGCTCAAACATAAACAAATGGTGATCTACAAACACCCAAAAATATTGTAAGCTTTTTGCTACCAATGAAAACAGTTTACCCTAAAATTGAGTTTAATAAAAGAAACTGAAAAGGAAATCTGAAGCCACCTGCAGCCCACTGCCACTTAATCTCTTATAAGTTGGAAATGTGAAAACAACTTGGAAGATTCAGTACAAACACAAAAGGCTGGTGACTCCTATGTGAAACAAAGATTATTTACTAAATGAAATTACTGAAAGTGAACAGAGAAAATTCTGTGAGGTCAACTAAATTCTTTTTACTTTAAAGGCCCTGCTAGAGACTGGCTGCTGCTCTAATTCATTATTTGGAGAGGCAAAACTAAAAAAGCTGTTGGCAGGTTCAGGTGCTGTGGGAGAACCCACAAAAAATGGTCTGAACTGAAAATCTCCATCTCCACCACCCCGATTTCGAACTGGTGTACTGTCCAAAGGAAACTTGGAGTTGTTCCCTAGAAGAAAAATAAGGGAAGAACTTAAGAATCTATTTCCTTATAGATCTTTTGGATGAAAAAAACAAAGCCATTCAATAATATTTTAACAGAACTCAACACTTATGACATGCGTAAAACATAAACCTTGGATAAAGAAAAGATAGCCTCCTCTCCTTACCACAGTATATATATCTTACCTTCTTCCATGTGCAGTTTCCAGTGATAGCCATTACCTCATCACCAAAAGTAACTTAAGACAGCGAAATACTTTTGTAGAGCTAGAATTTACAGTATCATAATTTTATTTGTTATCTATTAATCTACATTCAAGGAATATCATATATATTCATGTGTGTGGGTGTGTGTGTGTAACTTTTGTCCCAGGTTCTTTAAGAACAAATTTCTTTTTTACAATTTCCATAGGCGCTCTGGAAAATATATGACTACCATGAAAACCTGGCACATATTCAAGTCCCAAGATCAATTAGCACACCCTTAAGAAAAATTATACAATAGATCTGATAAAATAAGCATTTAACAACTTCCACTGGGGCTTCCCTTGAGGATCAGTTGGTAAAGAATCCGCCTGCAATGTGGATCCCTGGGTTGGGAAGATCCCCTGGAGAAGGGAAAGACTACTCACTCCAATATTCTGGCCTGGAGAATTCCATGAACTGTATAGTCCATGGAGTTGCCAAGAGTCAGACACGACTGAGCGACTTTCACTTTCACTGAACCCATCCTTGGCTTTAGTTATATAACTAAAGGAGAATGCTGACTATATCTACTTCAAGTCAACAATGGTGGCAAGAGGTGAAAGAAAAAGGTAAGTGTGTGCAAAAAAAGGATCAGGTAAGAACTGGTAAAAATGAAAGAAACTGAAATAAATGTGGATAGTCACAAGGAAAATATAAGAATACCTATAATGCCCATACACAATAATACTTTGATTGACTAAATCATATAATTAACTGAAAGCTAAGTTGAAACTTATTTTTGTTTCAATTCTCCTATCTGATATTCTTCTCATTACTTCATGCCTTTTCTAGGATATCCTCTTCTCCTCAACAATAAAATTCAAAAAAAGAAGATTTATAAAAATCCAGCTCAAATAAAAGTTCATCTCAAGAATTTTCACTTTTTTGTGTGTCAAAAAAGTATATTAATAGTATAGTAAAAACTACTAGATTCTGTCATATCAAGAGTGGTATAAAGGAGAGAACTCAGGAAGAGATTCCCTGCCATCTGACAAGTAGAAAAGCTAGACTGTGTATTTCCAGGAGGCAGAAATCCTATCTGGATAATCCTTACATCCCCATTGCCCAAAATTTTTTCCAGCAGCCTGGCACATGAAACATGCTTGATAAATATTTGATAAATTTATGAATGAATAAACAACCACTAATAACTTAAGAACTGTGCAATCAGTATTGTCATGTGAAAGAAACTAAAACATGGTCTTCTCACAGGATAGCAAATAGTTAAAAGAGTATGGGCTCTGAAGATAGCTCTGTGACCCTGACCAATTTACTTAACCTTTCTGTTCCTCAGCTTTCTCATCTGTAATATAGGCATGATAATAAACACCTACCTCATAAAGTTTTATAAATGACACAAATACATGTGAAATTATAATAGTTTCTAATATTTAGTAAGGAATTAATAAATGGCAGCTAATATTATTATTATTACTGCAACTAAATAGCTTTTCATTTGAAGTGGAAATTTGCCAACTTTAATTTTGGAATTATTTACTCTCTGTTCAAATAAATTGAAGATGTAATTTAAAATGTAAGCAAATAAAACAGATTAAAACTAAGGATGTGCTGATCGAGACACAGATGAAGAACCTAGAGCCTACCACTACTACCACCACTCTACGCCTCTGGAGTCTCCACTAACTGTGTGGAACTATGCAGGACACAGTGTGAAACACCACTAATTTAATTTAAAGAACTGATACTGGATATTACATGTCCTTTCTTACCTAGTGGGAAGCCAAAAACACCAGACTGTGCAATCATAGATGGTTCAAGAGTACTATCTTGGTTAGCAATAGTGATATTTCGCAGCCTAAGGCTATCATAGAGGCCTTGGAGCTTTTGATACTGGCGATTTCGCTCCATAAGTTTCTCAGAAATGTCACTAAACTTTTTCTTATATTCTTCTAGCACTTTCTTCATAGAGGTGACCTCCCCTTTCATAGAGGTCAATTCTACATCCTTGCTCTGTATTTGCTGAGTATATATCTTCTCCATCTGCTTCAGATGGCCCTCTGCCTTGCTGAAATTGTATTCTTGATAGAGACGCTCCTGGTGTACCTGTCCCAAGAGAGAAAAGATTTAAGGTAATAAACACAAAGTTATTTATTTTAACTTTATACAAACACAGAAAGAAAAGAAAGACACACATACTGGAATGTTATTACTTTAAATTTTAGAACCAGATTAAGAAGAAATTAGGATGTACAAAAGAATAATTATTATAGAAAATAATACACTATGTCACTAAATACATAGAAAAAAAAAGGAGGAATACTCTCAAAGCATGACCATTACATCAACAAAAAATGTGAATATTTGTTTAACCTCAACAAGTGACATGTAGACCAAAAGTTTCCAAGAAATCTAACGCTATATTTCAAGTAATCCATAGTGTGGAGAACTTATTATAAAACAGTCCCCAATTATCCCTGCCTTCTGACACTTATATCCCCCCCTTGATCTAGACAGGACCTGTGACTAGCATACAGGAAAAATGATAGGCTATCGCTTCACCAGTGCATTACATAAGAATATAGAGTTTCTCTTACTAGCATATTCTCTCTCTTGCTGGATTTGTGGATGCAAGAGGCCAAGCTGGAAAGGCCAACAGGCAAGTGACACAATTCAATCATTAAAATTATGATTTCATCAAACACACAAAAATTTTAAAACTGTATGTCAAAAAAATCAATGAAGACTAACAAAAGTGAAAAAAATTTCTTGCAACATCTGAGTTAAGTATATGTATAGAGAGAATTCTTATTAATCAGTGGGGGAAAACTACAGCAACTGAAATAAAACAGACAATTAATACCAGAAAAATATACTTAAAATACAGGAAAATGTATTCATCTAAAGGTCATCCAACAAATGCATATTTAGAGAGCAATGAGATTCTACTGTAACCATACCTAATTGGTGAGCAGAAAGTATGGTGAACAAGTACCCTCCTACATTTCTTAAGGGAACACAAACTGACATGATCTAACTGGAAGGCAACTTTTAACACTGCAATTTTTAAAACTTTGAAATGTTTCACTTTCAGGTGTTTAAAGTTAGCAAAAAATTAAGGATATGAATTTAATGATAACAGTACTCATCCCAGCATTTTAATAACTTGGAAATAAATTACAATACATTATAACCATTAAAATTATGGTTATAGAATGGCTAATTTTTAAATATTTAATAAAATACTCATAACAGGCATAATCTATTGTCAATTTACCTGGCCACAAAAATGGTATCTGTGGTATTACCCTATTTTTATATAGACAAAATATATATAAATATATATTTATACACAGGAAAATCTAATAATATACAAACATAAGTATCAAGACTGGTTATCTCTGAGTGATGGAATTATGGATTATTTTTATTTTCTTCCTTTTGGATTTTTAAACACTAAACACATTACTTTTGCAAAAAAGAAAATTAAAAAGAGTATTTTTCCATACATTTTTAAAAAACAAATACACAGTGAAGGAAAAACTTTAGAAGTATTCACATACACCTCAAAGCATACTCTCCAGGGCAACTAGCCTAAGCACTAACCTGGTATGTCCAGAAGGCCAGCGCTCGGGAGCTGATGTCCAATACAATCTCTGGTCGAAGTCCCGCCAATACCATGGCTTTATATTCCTCTGATGGACTGAGTTCTGTACGGACAATATCTAGCTTTCCAGAAAGAGTACTATTGCAGGCAGGGCAGATAGCTGGTGAACGACTAAACTCACCACTACCATGCTGATCACAGAATATATGAGAGCAGGCAGTGACCCATGCATAACCAGAGAGTTTGACACGACACTTGCGATAATTACAAAGCAGCATGTCTTCACACAAAGACATAATAGATAATAAAGTCTTCAGATGCTGAAAAGAATCCTAAAAAGGGATAAATGAAAAAGTCAATTTGCAGTAAAATTAAATAAATAAATAAAAATAAATGAAACACGTTTTTATTTTACTAAGACAAAATAATATACCTTTTATTATGCTTTTGTATTACAATCAATATATAATATTGATTTCAGTCACCCAACAATATTGTGCTCCTTCTTTGTGCAAACCACTGCTAAGGCCACGAAAAAACTTTTTAAGGAAAAAGTTAAAGACACAGGTAGTTCTACATCTCATTTATAAGTTAAAAATAATATGTTCATAAAAATTTTTTAAAAAGGTTTAGGAACATTTACAAAGTAGAGATAAAAATTAAACTAGTGCTTTTTGCCATTTCTCAATGCCTAAACAAAAATGCAACTGTATTACCCATTCATAGTTTGCTAGAATATTTTAGTATCACTTCTCACATTTGGCAGATATAAAAAGTCCAGGCACTAATTTTAGCCATTCTTTAATGCAAAGTATTTTAAGTTACATTTTTAGGTTTTCATATATGCTGATACCTCAGATTCTTTACCTGTGTTGCCTTGACTAAAAAAGACTATTAACGTATACTATTAAATAGAAACTAACCTAATTCATTCAAGTAGTTGACATTATGAAGCCTGAAAATCTATATAAAAGCAAACTTTATCACCAATTAAACAACTCACCTATTAATGTAAATACTGTTCAATGCTATGCTTCTATTCCATTATTTTTCAATATAGTGTCTACTGTCACTGGAGTTTAGTCCAAACTAGGCAGCAATATCCTGAACATATCGAAATTAGTCATTATTGTATAAAATAGGTCTTCTCTTATGCTTCAGACAGTAAAGAATCTGCCTGCAATGCAGGAGACCGGCGTTTGATCCCTATGTCGGGAAGATCCCCTTGGAGAAGAGAATGGCTACCCACTCAAGTATTCTGGCCTGGGGAATTCCACGGACACAGGAGCCTGGTGGGCTACTGTCCAAAGGGTTGCGGAGTCAGACATGACTAAGCGGCTAACACTTTGTATAAAATAATAGTGACACACCAGTTACACACCAAGGGAAGATGGTCAAATTTAGGAATGGGTAAATTCTGTCAAGACAGTTGCCTGGGTCACAGGGGTGGGACAAGGACGCTCCGACATTTTTTACCCCAAATGTCCCTGCTGAAGGAGTCTCCACAGGTACCCGGCGGCCGCAGTTACAAGGCCTTTGTCCCTCCAGCAGGGTACAGCGCAGACGGGAAGCTGAAGAGCTGGGGACAGTTTGGAACCTGAGTCCCTCAACCAGGCAGAGCCAGTGTTAGTTGCTCAGTCTTGTCCGACTCTTCGCAACCGCCAAGCTACTCTGTCCATAGGATTTCCCAGGCAAGAATACTGGAGTGGGTGGCCATTCCCTTCTCCAGGGGATCTGCACGACCCAGGAATCGAACCTGCATCTCCTGCATCACAGGCAGACTCTTTACGGCTGAGCCACCCGGGGAAGCCAAATATGTATATACAGACACATAAGCATATATATATATACGCACACTCATATACATGAGTATTAGAGGCATACGAGTATTATATTCACATGTGTTTATCTCTATATATGGATTCAAATATTAATTCATGTCCACTTCTTTCCTTCAGATTTTCAGCAAGCCAGACTCTCATGGTCTAGGAGTCGTAGCAAGGAGCCTCCTGCTGCTGGTTTATATCTTGTGAGTTTCTGTTTGCAGACGCTGTCCCTGTTTCCTCCCGGGATGCTGAGCGGCGGGAGATGACCACCTCCGCCATCATCACGGGCTGCCCTGTCCCTCTCATCCCCGGTCCCCGGGTGGATGCCACATTCAGACCTCGAGAAGGAGCCCTGTGGCCTCACCCACAGGCAGGACGTGTACCTTCTGAACATCACCCCCTTGGTCACGGCTGTATNTATGACGTTCTGCTCAATCTGAGTCTATTAGAATTCATATTAGAAATTAAGCTGAGAGCTCCAGGGGCCTCAGAATATAAGCCTAATGCTGACTTTTGTAGCCACCTTTCCTGAAGATGTGACATTAGTATGAATTAGTAACAGAAACAATCCAATAAATCAGCAACACAACGGGGACACTAAGCCCTGGGAAACCCCGTTGTGGGTTGTGAATCTATATACTACCTTTCTCCTTCAGACAAAAACCTACCCTGATTAAACAACTTTCTCTAGTTTTTTGTCTATCTGTAACTGGTTCACAGTAATCAAGGTCATCTTGGCCTTTGTACACTTTTCCTAAAATGTCTCCTGAGAGTTCAAAATAGAAATTCAATCTAGTGGTACAAAATGGGTTTGAAAATCAGGGGTTCATGTGTAAACCATGTAATCCCTAACATGTTTTGGTTATCGAGCCTTTTGTGCATTTTCTGGTTTTAACTATGCCAAATGTAGAAATATTAAAGTACAATAAAAAGGTATATTCTCATGTCAAGTTGTAAAACACAAAGCATTCACATTTGACCAGTATCTAACTTTGTGATTCTAGCCAAGTTACCTTTGTGCTACAATATGATCCCTTCCTGCTTCTTCAATTTTACTGATTCCCCAAAGCTTGGTGTAACGCACACCATTTTTAAAGTCAGTTTCCAATTTCCAACCCATTTGGCTAAAAGCCTATATGAATTGTGTGTGCATATATATATGTATATACATATACAGATATACCTATATACACACACACACACACATTTGGTGACGGGATGGGGGACAGACATGTTTTGCCAGATAGGAGAAAGTAGTCTGGAATACCAGGAATTGACTTAACTTGTTTCTTGGTGGCATATGTCCTGTTCTCTCATGGCATAGAAAAACCCTTCCGTGGCTCATTTCTAAGGTGCTTCTGAGGATGAAACCACTGAAATCAATCAAGGCTGGGATACAGAGACCTAACCACCAAAAAGAGCATTTTAAAATATTTGTTTTTCGAACTTATGGTTCCTGGGAGGAAGGGATAGTTATGGACTTTAGGAAGGTCATGTACACAGTGCTATGTTTTAAATGGATAACCAACAAAGACCTATTGTATAGCACATGGAACTCTGTTCGATGTTATATGCCAGTCTGTATGGGAGGGACTTTGGGGGAGAATGGATACATGTATATGTATGGCTGAGACCCTTCGCTGTTCACCTGAAACTACCACAACATTGTTAATCGGCTATACCCCAATACAAAATGTTTTTGGTGTTAAATGAATAAATAAATAAAATGCTAAAAATAGGTTTTTATTATTAAATATTAAGCATATAAAAAATGTGTGGAGACTGACCATCACTCAATATAATATACCCAAACTTTTCTCAAGTTTGATGTTTTTTTTTTTTAAGTTTGATGTTTTTTAATGAGGTAACAAGTTACAGATACTCAATCCATTTTCCTCTTACCTCTCCAGAGGTAAACAAGCCAGATTTGGGGGTTTATCAATCTCATACAGGTTTTTAATTATGTATATACATCAAATTTTGTTTTCATATTCTCACACTACTAAATCTCACACAATACATATCAGTTGACCATTTTTAAGTCTTTTTTTTTGAGATGTAAAGTTAATACACATACCTTATATTAATTCATTTTAACAGCCAAATTCCACAAACCACAATTTATTTATTCATTCTTCTAATGGACATTGGTTCCAGGTTTTTACAACTAAAAATATTTTACTGCAATAAACCTTCTGTGCCCATTTCCTTGAGTATACATGTCAAGAACTCTTTAAGATTACCCAAAGATTGGGTATAATCATCTTAAAATAAAAATGATGTTGCCAAACCTTCTCCAAAGTAATAAATTAATTTCACTGCTACCAGCAACTCCAGCCTTGGCAACATGTTTAAGTGTCAGAGTTCATTTATTCTATTTCGATTTTTGCCCATCTGATGGCAGTGAAATGGAATCTCAGTGTTGTTTTAATGTAAAGTTATTTTATCAGTTGTTAGATTAAGCATCTTTTCATGTGAATGACTACTTAGGGATCCTCATCTATGAATTGCCCATTCATATCCTTTGATCATTTTCTTGATTTAAATGGAGCCTTTGTCAGTTACATAGCATGCAAACTTAAGTTTGAATTTTAGTGTATACAAATGTATCAGTCTTTTCTTTTGCCTTATGGCTAATCCAATGTCACAGTGCCATAGTCTTTGCTTTTATATAGGCTTGAAGTTTTGCTTTCCATTTACAAATCTTTAATCCATTCTTCTAACATAAAAAGTCTGGATAAACTCTGACAGCACAATTTGTGCATTCATTGTTATATACCATTTAACTGGTATTTTACCATAAAGTTTGATTTTGATCTTGTTTAGATATTATAAGTACTTACTGGCTATATTATGTACCACATTTCTCTAAGAGCTTCAGAAATAATAATTTTCCTAGTATGTTTGAATCTGAGATAGTCAGCATCATCTACTCTAAATCTAATTTGATGTTTATATTTGCTTTAACAGAAGAATCATAATCTAGAGAATAGATTTCATATTATAACAGAAGTTATTAGTAAGACTCATTGCTATCCAGGTAGTTTATCAAGTAAAAATTGAAGTCCCAAGTATTCCATGTAATCTTGTTGAAATGCCATTAAAATGGTTGTCATTTCCAAAGATTCAAAAAAACCCAAAATTCTACAGATATTTTAATTAACTTCAAGTATTTCTTGAGTATCTATTCTGGGTCAGGCATTACAGATAAGCAAGTTATCCTGCTTTCATGAAGTTACAATCTAGCAAAGAATCAAAGAATGATAGAAGAAAATATTTTACTCTTTCTTTTACTGCCTCTTAAATTTTTGCAAGTTGATTCTTATAAACCATGTCTGGTGAGAAAAGTCAGTGTCCATCTTTAATTCGAAGAATCATCCACCTTCATGCTGCAGAGAAAAAGATATTTTTAATACTTCCCTGAAAGGTGAATAACTACTCAATAGAAAATTGAGTAAACCATTTAAAATTTAAACATGAATGACTTCAGAGTATGTTTCAATAACTCCTAGAATCAACTGACTAGAGCACTTCCTTTCATAGTCCTAGATCAGTGCTTTTCAAATCTGTTGCAATCGGGGTTCTCTATATATTAGATCCTCATGTTTTAGAATTAATGGAGTTTTTTAATCCCAAGTATAATTCTTAATCTAGAATCACCACCTGCTTCGCATTTGTTTGACTCCGCAAAAATCAGAAGGCACTAACGGACAGCCAACCCATCCCCATGGTGCCCTGAGTGAAGACAAGTCAGTTTGGATATATGATGGACTAAAATCCCACTACTTAAAGCTCCAAGCAGTGAGAGGAACAGCCATCAAAGATTACCTCCAATCACTTCAATAAATGTTTTACGAAACATCTCTATCACTTCTAAATTTCTAAAGAGTCAGTTGAGAACTAGAAGAACCATTAAGTATCAACTGGTCCAGCTAGTAGACAGACAAAAAGAGCAATTAGGTGATAAATAAATTAGTGTCAAAAAGAAGATTAATTAAGAAAATGTTATTGAAACAATGATATTGGGATATACATTATAGGCCTTATTATCATACTTTGCCTAAATCTAGAACTAAAATAGACTCTGTGTGCTAAGGGTAAAGGTAATGAGGCATAGCCCAACTGCCAGAAGGATGCACATAAGCAATAAAAACAAGGACTTTCTCATAATTATTATGCATATGTCAGAAATTGCTAGGTAGTACAAAGTCTAAGATAAATATACACATGGACTCCAGTAATAAAATAGCTAACATCTATTGAGCACTTACCATATGTTAATAATGTTCTAAGCCCCACACATTTATTATCTAATTTAATCTTCTAAGTCAAGTATTATTCCTTTGAGTCAGGTACTATTATTATCACCTTCTAAGATATAAAGACCCTAAGACATTAAGAAACTTGCCAGGGTTACATAGCTGCTTAAGTGATAGAGAGTGGGTTTGAACCAAGTCTGACTTCAGAAGCCATGTATAGCTACTATGCTATGCCACCTTTCAACATCTTCAGTTGACCTTTTAAAAAATAAAATTTGTAGCACCTTAAAAGCTAGCCATGAAGTCACTAAGCTGAGTTTTCACAGATTCATATGTATGTCAAAGCTTCTCAATTTCAACATAAGCCTTACCATAAAACAAAAATGCTATTATTATCTACTATATATCCAGGATTACAGCTCCCAAGAGTTCCGGGCTGGAAAAGAAGTGAGACTCCAGTCTAGTTTCCTGAAATTTCATTTCTGCAAAAGACACAACCAAAAGCTAAAAAATTATTTCAAGTGCTGATGTTACTTTGCACATTGCTTTTAAATATCTGTATTTCCTATATTTCACACTCATATGTTGCCCCATTCTCTGCTGAAACTTGCAAGTACAAGAATACAAGCCTGTCCTATCTAGGCTGCTTTAAATAACTTTAATTAGAGACAAATATAACAAAGTCAGAAAATACTGGTTAACAAGATCATCCATAGAACCCGATTCTAAAGACAATAATCCCTAGTATTGGAATATATCCTTTCAAATGATTTCTCAAGTAAACATAAGCACACAAAAATGTTTAAGCAGAAAAGGGATTATACATATTGCTCTGTAACTTGTTTTTAAATTAATATATCATGAATACTCTTCCATTTCAAGAAAGATAAACTGATATCATAATTTTTAGTGATTACATAGTATTGCATTTTACTATCTTGATTTTAAAATTGATTTAACCAACTCTGGGGTTCTCTTAATCTTATGTATAAACTAACAAAATAGTGACTCGTTTAATACTGTCAAGTTAAGTGGTTAACAGAATTATACCAGTTATCACTGTTCTTTCTGTAGTGTTTGAATTTTTAGATTAAGGATTCTTGACCCAAGTTCTATCTCAAAGAGACACAACAAAAGGTCAAAGCTCAACCAAGTATTGTAGTAGCAAACTCATAGTTCAAAGATTTAAAAGTTACCTAACATCATGGGCTAGATCCCAGTAAGAATTTCAAGAAATAGGAATCAATTCCAAGTGTTTGTGCTAGCTGTAGTCTGCTTAGAGCATGTGTTCAGTCAGGGCAATCAGGACTTCCCTGGGAGTCCAATGGTTAAGACTCCACTCTACCAATGCAGGTAGCATGGGTTCAAATCCTGGTCTGGGAACTAAGATCCTACATCCCACATGTGCAGTCAAATAAAAAATAAATAAATAAAACAATCAGGGCAATCAGCTGAAACATAGGCTTAACATGTATTTCATCATGGCAAACTGCAAATGACTGACTACTGAAGAACAAACCGCCACCAGGTCCTCATCCCCAAACCAGGGAAACTCTCTCAAGGTTAACACTAAGCCCCTTCAACTACCAAACTTCAACCACGAAGAAAACTGAATCTCCAAACTTGCAAGGTGGTTAGATATTCAAATGAGGTAAAGATGAAGGTTTTCTTTATACTTACTTCTGGTATCATATGAACTGCTTCTCTCTAGGAATCAAGTTGAACTACAGGATCTATCAAGCATCTGGCATCTCTGGAAAATAAAAAATTAAATAATAAACAAATATACAAAGGTTATGACTACAAGCCTTGAATGCACACCAGCCTACTCCACACCAAGTCACACCCATAAAGCCTCAAGGAAAATTAACTCAAAGAAAACTATTCATTCTTTATTTGAATCTGCATTCAGCAATATAAATGGACCCATCTATTTTGGAGAATGTCATCAAATGCCCAAACTCATTATCAGACTAGGGCAAGACTTCTGTACAAGCTCCACTATTTGTATAAATTTAAAAGTTTGGGTAAAACTATACAGTAAGTCCAACCAATGTCTGAAAGGTTACATTAATAAAAGTCAACAGTCTAAAAAGAGAATAGGTATGCAAACAGAAGAACCCCGTGATGGCTGCAACCAAAGAATGGCAGCCATGGGAACAAATTCAGGGAGATGGGGCATAAATGGTATGAGTTACTGCCAGTCTCTCCAAGTTCACAGGTTATGTGATTACAGAAAACACTTGTAACCACAGGGTGACCACAATCATTAAGTTCACAAAATCCTTTAAAGAAAAAATAAATAAATTAAAAAATAGAAGGAGTTAAGAACTGGTAGGGCTTCCCTGATAGCTTAGTTCATAAAGAATCCGCCTGCAATGTAGGAGATCCCAGTTCAATTCCTGGGTTGGGAAGATCTGCTGGAGAAGGGATAGGCTACCCATTCTTGCACTTCCCTTGTGGCTCAGCTGGTGAAGAATCTACCTGCAATGTGGGAGACCTGGGTTTGATCCCTGGGTTGGGAAGATCCCCTGGAGAAGGGAAAGGCTACCCATTCCAATATTCTGACCTAGAACAGTCCATGGACTGTATAGTCCATGGGGTCACAAAGAGTCAGAGACAACTGACCAACTTTCACTTTCAAGAACTGGGAAGTGTAAGATAAATGAGAAGGCAATCTAAAATAGTCTTTTTTTTTTGCAAACTTTGTTTCAATTTCATTTGAGCCAGTGTCAGTTATATTTAACCTCTACTTCTCTTAAAGTATTTATCACAATAAACTAAAGCAAACCTTCCCTTGACATAGCAAAATTGAATTAGCATCATTTGGAGCACAAGTTGGCCAAGAGATGGCAGTATAAAAAAGATTTGTTCTTACAGAGGTTGAGTGTAATCTGAATTTTCTATTTCTTTCTATTATATTTAATGATCATATAAAATCACAATATTACAATTATGTTTTTTTCATGTTCCTTCATGCAGCAATGGGGAAATTTAAAACTCCATAATCTCAAATACAACCTAGCTAGAAAGACAACACACGAGAAAATTAATGTCCAAACAAGTCAGAGACAGAGCCAAGTTATATTTAGAAGAATCATTGGTCAAGGAAGGCTTCATGAAGAAAAAATAGTAGGTCTTGAATGAGTCTCAAAATTGCACTTAGAAGAGTATTTGGTTATATATCTGAAAGTTGCTAAGAGAGTAATCTTAAAAGTTCTCATCACAAGAAGAAAAAAATTTTTAACTAGATGTGGTAATGGATCTTAACTAGATGTATTATAGTAATCATGTCTTAATATCAATACATACAAATACTGAATTATTATGTTGTACACCTGAAACTAATATAATGTAACACATGAATTATATCTCTAAAATAATAACTGCACTGTCCAATAGCTAACACCTATTACAGCCTAAATTTAAATTAAGCTAAACTAAAAATTAAATTCCTCAGTTACATTTTAATTGCTCAGTAACCTCATATGGCTGATAGCTATCAAACTGGACAGTACAAATACAGAACATTCAAGTTCTGTTGAAGAGCATAAACAGTGGGTATGACTAAAAGTAAGCTGACAAAAAAGGAAGTATCAGTTATCATTCTTAAAGTCCTACCTATAATCTGTCAAGAACTACTGAAATCATTTCAAACTTTACAACAGAAGTTTTTTCCCATATTTATAAGGAAATTTTGTGGCTCAGAGAAGTTACATAAATTTCCCTAGTCCACTTAGCTATTAAGACCTGGGATATGAGCCCAATTCTGTAAAAATTCCATATTTTCACTTCAGTATGCCCCTTACTACCTGAACTAAGAAGCAGAACTGCAAACGACAATTTGCTTTAAAACGTATTAAGAATGGCATACTGGGAGGAAAAAAAAAAGAATGGCATACTGGCTCAGTAGGTCAGAAAGAAACAGATCCACTCATTTTGTTTCCTGTGTCTTCATAGAACAAAAGGTACCTCTTATATGTGAACAGATGATTCATAAGGCTTAATATAAACCACAAATTTTTTAATAACTCAGAGATATAATCAAAGTGTTATTTCACTTGTTCTTGTCCTATACTTGAATACTGCTTTAATTATTCCAAATGTTTTGGATATCAGCAACATGTGAGATTAACTAAGGGAACATATAGGAAGCAAGACACTGCAAAATTTCACCATTTCTTATTGTAAGAGTTTTAACATTGTCCATCTCAAAAGCCCACGTCCAAGTACTCTTTATGGGAAAAATAATTATAGATTGAATGGTATACCTTTCCTATTTGTCTCATCTCACAAAAACAAAACCCAGATTGCAAAGTGCCTGGTCTTTGTTTCCGTGGCATATAGCACAAAGCCTGCCTGATAGTACATGATGCCTTTTCCAATGTGTGATGCTCCATGCAGGATTTTATTTTTTTTTTCATTTATTTTTATTAGTTGGAGGCTAATTACTTTACAATATTGTAGTTGTTTTTGTCATACATTGACATGAATTAGCCATGGATTTACATGTAGGATTTTAGTTACGCTTCATCAAGTATCATTCCACCACAAGAAGACCACTGTACATTTACTGAGTTGCTTAGGGAGCTAAAGTAAACATTTTGTAAATATCCCATAGACAATCAATGACCCACTCATTTTGCTTCCTGTGGAAATAAGTTCTTCAAAGGACAAAAGGTACATTTTACATGTGAACAGATGATTCATGAGGCTTGACAGAAAACACAATTGACACTGAACGAGCTGATGCTTCCATTTTAAGATTATACTATCACTCAGTTTTGCCCAGTTCCATTCCAGTTTACTCAATGACTACTGTGTATCCCACACTATGGGACACAATGGTAATTCAAGGAACCGCCTGTCGTTTTTAGATAGAAAAGACACTTAACACATGTAAAACAGAATACTTTAAGGTGTCATATCTTAGCCAAAGTTCAAGTACTTGCCTCTATGGTCCCATTAGCCTTTAACCATTCCTACTGAGAATGTCCAAATCAAAGTCTCCTTAATTTTTAGGGGTCTGCAGATGTTAGAGAGGTTTTCACACTGCTGCTTCTGGGCTGGCACATGTGGTGCTGAAGACCCAGGCTTTCCTTCCTCAGGGGACTCCATCTTCAACCTGAAGCAAAAGGAAAACAATCCAAAACTTTGTATATGAAGTAAATGCTAAACTAATTGCGTGGCAGAGTCATCTTTTAGCGTCAGCTCTCTAAGACTATACTATCAGAACAGACTCTCAAGTTTTATCTCCCACTTACTGTCAGTTATTTTAGCTAAAAATTCCAATTGTTTTAACCTCTCAGTGCAGGAGAAATCTCTAATTTTCTTGAAGAGACCTCTAGTCTTTCCCATTCTATTGTTTTCCTCTATTTCTTTGCATTCATCACTGAGGAGGGCTTTCTTATCTCTCCTTGCTATTCTTTGGAACTCTGCATTCAGATGCTTATATCTTTCCTTTTCTCCTTTGCCTTTGAGCTATTTCAAAACCTAAAAGGTGATGCTGTTAAAGTGCTGCACTCTATATGTCAGCAAATTTGGGAAACTCAGCAGTGGCCACAGGACTGGAAAAGGTCAGTTTTCATTCCAATCCCTAAGAAAGGCAATACCAAAGAATGCTCAAACTATTGTACAATGGCACGCATCTCACACACTAGCAAAGTAATGCTCAAAGTTCTCCAAGCCAGGCTTCAATAGTGTGTGAACTGTGAGCTTCCAGATGTTCAAGCTGGATTTAGAAAAGGCAGAGGAACCAGAGATCAAATTGCCAACATCCACTGGATCATCAAAAAAGCAAGAGAGTTCCAGAAAAACATCTACTTCTGCTTTATTGACTATGCCAAAGCCTTTGACTGTGTGGATCACAACAAACTGTGGAAAATTCTTAAAGAGATTGGAATACCAGACCACCTGATCTGCCTCCTGACAAATCTGTATGCAG